CTTCTTGTAGATTAAAGAGGAAAAGAACAGTCCATTGTGCCTTTGCACTTGTGAATTCATAGGCCTGTTGCTTTCACTTCCTGGAGAGATCCCAAGGAGGGAGACAGTGGAGACAGGCTGACACTTGTGGTAGTTATAAGACTTTCAGCCTGCACTCTCACTTTTTTCCCTTCTGCAAGTTGCTGCTTTAAGAGGCTTGGCCCTTCTGCTCATGCCTATTAAATGCTAATAAAAACTTCCACATACTCAGCTTCCCCCTATGATCTTTCCCCTATGTGCCAGATGGTGTATTAAACTGTTTTTCTTATGTCTAATGTACATTATCTCATTTAGTCCTCCTGACAGCTCTGTGAGCCAGGTGTCAGTGTCCCTCTGTGTTGCAGAGAAGAGAACTGGGGCAATTTTAAAAGTACCGAAAAGTTCAGTAGTACTTCCAAATGGTATAGCCTGGACTTGAGCTCAGGATTGTCAGGTCCAGCATCTGTGCCCTCAGCACTACACAAGTGTTCCCCATCTTAGTTATTGGCAGCACCAGCTTTGCAGTGGCTCAGGCCAAAAAGTGCATGGTCCCTGGTTCCTGTACTCCCCTCACCCTCACTTCCACTCTCTCAGCAGTTTCTCTTTGCTCACTCTCTCCTGTGTTCTGAATCTGGAGACTTTTCTCTATCCACGTCACCAGCGTACTGCAGTCCCTCTCAGTCCCCATGCCTGGAATACTGCAGCAGCCTTGCAAACTGGTCTTCTTGCTTCCAGTGTGGTCCATTCTTTCCATGGCAGTGGAATGATACTTTATTTATTTTTTTTTAAAGAGAGAGAGAGAGAGAGAGAGAGAGAGAATTTTAATATTTATTTTTTAGTTTTCGGCGGACACAACATCTTTGTTTGTATGTGGTGCTGAGGATCGAACCCGGGCCCCACGCATGCCAGGTGAGCGCGCTACCGCTTGAGCCACATCCTCAGCCACAATACTTTAGAAGTCTATGTTAGGCATGCAGCTGTAGTCCCAGCAACTTGGAAGGCTGAGGAAGGAGGATCATCTGAACCCAGGAGTTCAAGTTCGAGTTCAAGGCCAGGCAACCTGTGCAACAGAACAAGATCCAGTGTCTACTTAAAAAAAAAAAAATGAGATCTTTTCATTTCACTGTGTAAAACCCCCAATGAATGCTTACTTGCAATAAGAAGAAAACCTGATGGCCGACTAAAGGCTATATGATTGGGCTCCTGCTACTTCTCTTACCTCATGCCCAGTGTCATCCTCTATCCTTCAGACTCACTAGCTCTGTCCAGCCTTTGCACCAGATCCCTCTGCTGGGAATATTCATTCTCAATTTTTGTCTGATTAGCTCCTTCTCCTTATTTACATCTCTGCTCTACTGTTACCTCCCGAAAGGGGGCCTTATTTGATCACTCTATATAAAGAAGACTTCCCCATACGCACTCCCAGCCCATCCTAGTTCCTAAACTTTATTTGCATCACAGTGCCTCTCTTCTTTGCCTTTCTTTCTTCTGTTGCATCCCTGGTGCAAGGAAGGATGCCTGGAATAGAGTAGATGCTCAGCATATGATTTTTGAACAAATGACAAACATGCTATTTCCTCTGCCTAAAAAGCTCTTCCCTACCCCCTTCTTCTAATCCACCTCACATATTTAGTTCTGGGGCATCCATCAATTCTGGCTCAAATATCATTTCCTTTGGGAATTTCCTGTGATCTCCTCTGCTTCATACTTTAGTTACAACTTATATTTTTCTTTCAAAGGTCTTATTACATGATTGTGTGGGTATTTGATTAAAGCCTGTTTTTCCCAGCAGACTCTGAACTCCATGAGAACAGAGTATTTCTTACACTGATTCGGTCCCCACTTGAAATGTGTGTGACCTAAATGGGCCAGGGGCACCTGGTGTCTGTGACTTCCTCATCACTCCATTCATCATTACATTAATAGAGACAGGCTGTAGAAGTAGGAAAGAAGCTTTGGGGAACCTCTGGCCCAGGAAAGATAAGTAGTCTGTGCTTATACTATCTAAGAAGTTGCTCTGCTTGTTCAGTGCTGCCTTTTTATGTTGTGCCCCTTTGTGCTTTTATCCATTCACTTGACTCTTTCCACCAAAAGAGCTTATTTCCCAGCTTATTTCCCTGACTTCCAATTTCGTCATGATTTTCAGTAACACATTGTGTTTTTTAACTGAGGCCCACGTTGCTGGGCACAATGGCACACACCTATAATCCCAGCAACTTGAGAGGCTGAGGCAGGAAGATTATTATTTAGAATCCAACCTGAGCAACGTAGACCCTGTCTCAAAATTTAAAAAATAAAGATGAAAATGACTGGGGATATGCCAGGCACCATGGCATATGCCTGTAATCCCAGCGGCTCAGGAGGCTGAGACAGGAGGATTGCAAGTTCAAAGTCAGCCTCAAAAGAGAGATGCTAAGCAACTCAATGAGATCCTGTCTCTAAATAAAATACAAAATAGGGCTCGGGATGTGGCTCAGTGGTCAAATGCCCCTGAGTTCAATCCCAGTATGCCCCCAGCCAAAAAATAAAAAAGAAAGATTGAGGATGTAGCTCAGCACTCCCTGAGTTCGATTCTCAGGGGAAAAAAAAAAACACTCGGCCCACCTGTATATAATTGTGAGATGTTATCAGCCCTAGTGAATTAGCAATAGATGAGGAACAGTCAAGAATTCAAACTCTGTTTCTATCACTGAATGGTTGATCAAAGCTTTAATTTTAGCTAACAGTATGTCTTTCCACATCTACAGAGCATCAAAAAATTCAGAATTATAGTGCCTCAGTTCAGTAGTATGATCCCAAAATTAAGCCAGGAAATCAGGAATTTAATGCTATTAACTAATTTAATTTTTTTGATGGGTCTTACTATATTATCCAGTCATGTCTTCAGTTTCTGAGCTTAAGTGATCCTCCTGCCTCAGCCTCATGAGTAGCAGGGACTATATAGGTGCATGCCATCATGCCTGGCTTAATTAATTTTTTATTATTGTTGAAGCTTAGACATGGTAGATTCCCTTTATCCCTAGTCCTCTCTCCTTAAAATACCAGTACTTGAAATGACAGCTAAAGCTTATTCTAAATAATAATCTTCCTGCCTCAGCCTCTCAAGTTGCTGGGATTATAGGTGTGTGCCACTTACTTGCTTTCTAAAGTAAACTTTATTTATGCAGATTCCCCCCCTCCCATATCTCAGGTAAAGAAGCCAAAGTTCAGAGGATACAAACATGAAATGCTTGCTTAGTTGGATCATACTGTGTCTCACCACGATACTGCAAAAATTATTGTCTTACTAGTGATTACCTTGAGCTAATGCAGTCATCACAAGTCTTTCTTCTTCTTTTTTTAATATTTATTTTTTAGTTATTGGTGGACACAGTATCTTTATTTTATTTTTATGTGGTGCTGAGGATCGAACCCAGTGCCTCATAACATGCTGGGTGAGCACTCTACTTCTGAGCCACAACCCTAGCCCAAGGCTTTCTTCTTAAGTGAGGGCTATTGTTTCTCTACATAATAGCATTTCCAAGTGTTTTTGACAACTAAGTCATTTAAATGAGTGTAAGCAGAATTATCTTAAAGCCCAAAGCAAATACTGATGCAGTTCTTTTTGTGTGTGTTTAGACTTGTTTTTGTTTTTTGTTTGTAACAAAAATTATCACCTTCAGGTGATAATTATAAGCTTGACAGTAAGTCACCACATCATCCATCTGCTGTCCCTCTTGGCATAGGAATTAGTTCAGTTTGCTCCACTGGTATACGTTAAAGTGACATAAGTACATTCAGAAACTCCCTCTCCCCTTAGCTTCTTGTCTCAAGGATGCCATCCCTTGACCCACCATCTCATCCCTGGTGCCAACCAATCCCTTTTGTCCTGATTGTCCATTTGGCTTCTTTTCTGCTAAAACTCCCCAGCACCTAAGCATAAACAACATCTGTAGGTCAAAATTGTAAAAAAAAAAAAAAAAAAAAAAAAAATCCAAAAGAGCTGTCTTGATTCTATAGTTGCACTGGAATTAGCATCATCAGTGACCCTTGTATATGTCATGTGGTTCTTCTAGGGTTTCACACACTTTGTTACATTTGATCCTTCAAACAGTCCTGTGACTATGTCCTCATTCAGCAGAGGAAGCTCCTGTGGCTAGGTGATTTTGCCAATATAGCAAAATTGGAACAAAAACCCATGTCTCCTGCCCCCGGCTTTCCCATTAGCCCATGGTCCTGCTCAGTGTTATATTTTGAAATAGTGATCCTGTTCAGGAGCTGGGAAATAGTTTTTCTGAAGGCGATTTCTGTCGTGGTTGTAATGGGACTTATTTGGGAAGGACTTCTTTCTGTAATGTAGAACAGACGAGATTAAATTTTTTTAATATTTATTTTTTAGGTGTAGATGGACACAACACAATGCCTTTATTTTTATGTGGTGCTGAGGATCCGAACCCAGATCCCACCTGTGCTAGGCGAGTGTTCTACCGCTGAGCCACAATCCCAGCCCCAGCTTTGTAGTTTGTTCTTGAATTCAAATCCATGTGGCATTTGGATTCATTTTTGTTTTTTGAGCACCTTTTACATGCCAGACATCAAAGATAGGATGGGTGGGTAGACAGATAGGATCTCTCCATGTTGGCATCTAGTGCCAGAAGACAAACAAGCAATTGTAGTATTTTAATAAATAACCCGGGGAGAGGATGTACAGGATGGGATGGGAACACATGCCAGGGACATCTAACCCAAACTCGACAGAAAAAGTCTCCCAGAAGAGGAGACTTCTAAGTTGAGGACTGAAGGATGAATGAGAATTTTAGCTAGATTAGAATCAGAGTAAGGTGAACAGTAATGTTTCTAGAAGATGAAAAGACGTGAAGGCCTGGAAGTAAGACTGTGATCCATCCTAACGTAGCTATCAGGGAGACTTGGAAAAAGCAGAAGACTGGTGGGAAGTCTGTTGGACATGTTTAGAAGATAACTGTCTCGTGTCTTGTTAATAGAAAAAGCTCGAGTCTCCACCACCATCTACCAACCCCTTCCTGGAAGATGAGTCAGCACCAGAGATGGAGGAGCTGGCAATCGAGAAGGGAGAGTTAGATCAAGTAAGTCTGCTTTGCGTTACTATGTGTAACCTACCCAGTCTTCCTGTCTGAGAATGGATTGGCTAGCTTCATGTATGATCCTTTGGCTGTTACCCACATTCAGAGATGATAGTAGTGGTGGTCTTTATAGAGGGCCTTTATCTGGAAGTGTATTCAGAAAACAGAAAAAGCAGCCCTTCCCACCCTTGCTCTTTGCTCCCGAAGAACCTCACCTCCAGCATTCAGCAAGGCTCACAAGCTTAATCAGACCCTGCGGCAGGGCACGATTGTACTCTGCCCCATTCATCATCTCCTGAACTTGTCAGCGTCCCTTTCCGATGCACTCTAATGTGGTACTGTGATGATGTGAGAGGCTGAAAGATCCTGGGGGATAGTTAGCAGCACCCTGGGCTGAGAGAGGCCTCCATGCAGCGTAAGTTGATCACTTTAGGTCTGGAAGCCATTGGGGAGGCCTGGAAATATCAAGGTGACCACTGGCATCTTTGGAGTGTTACTTTTCTAAGCACACTAGAACTTTAATTTCCTTCTGATTTTTCTGTCCAGCTCTAAATTTCCTCTCCCTTCATCCTACAGAATGGTGTTTTTGTTTCCCTGCCATTTTATGACAAGAGAAGTTAGAGCAATAAATCAGAACATTTCCTTTCTGGATAAGTGATCCTTCTTTTTAATTTTCTACACTTGGCTGCTAGAGGATTACTTTATGATATTGTTTTACTCCAGGTACCACCAAAAGGGAGGCTTTGGGAAACCCATAGCCACATGCTTTGCTGCTGGCCCTGTGTTCCTAGCATGGTGAGGGTAGGTGTGCAGTCCTGGCAGGAGCCAAGAAAGTGGAATACATGGAGCAGTAAAATGTGTCTGGTCCACTGATTAAATAATTGTGATTACATGGACACCTCACATTTTTGTGGTGCTTTGTAATTAAAAAATCTTTTACAGGCCGTAATTCATTTTGCCTTCACAGTGCCTGCCTCTTTTTTTATAGGTGATGAAACTGTAGCACAAAGAGCCTAGTGACTTGTCCAAGGTCACATAATTTAGAAAAAGAAGAGCTAAGACTGGAAGTCATGTCTAGAAGTCAGAAACTAGAATTTTTTTCCAAAAGGCTGTTTTTTGTTTTGTTTTGTTTTGTTTTTAAATACCTTCATATCTCATTAAAAAGAAGAACATAGAAAGCTCATAGATACAAGTGAATGAACAACACTGAAGAGATATCTTGAGGCTGTATCCCAAAGATAAGTGGGAATAAGCGTGATTGATTTAAAACCATCATATGATTGGCTAGCGTGGGAGGAAAAAAAAATTCTTCTATCTAAAGAAATGCAGTTCCCACATTGTGAGAGCCAGGACTCAGGGTGGAGGGGTCTCCTTCTTCCTCATTTGGCCACCTGTATCCTAAGAACATGCTTTGTGCACTCGTGCCATTTGCAGGGCCCTGGTGTCTCCCCAGTACTAGTTGCAGCCATTATCATGTTCAGAATTGTGCAGGCGAGCACTCAGATGCTTTTCATGCTGCCGTGAGAAGATTTCCCTTTAGCTGGTCATCTCTAGATATTATTATGCTGGATTATGATAGATTTTTCCATTATCTAGGAAATCAGTTTTTCCTGGTAAATTAAGATTTTTCTGTCTCTTGGAACTTTTTTGCATATTATAAAAGCTTGAAGTTTTTGTAAGACTAAGACCTGCCCATTCTAAGGTACAGAACTCTGACATCTGACAAATACATGGTGTAAGGCAGAGCCGTGTGGTAGAGGAGGTGCTGGACCCTGGTCTGCCATTAACTGACCATGACCTTAGATAGTTTACTTACTGCCTCTAGACTTTCCTGCTTTCTTTATCTTTAGAGATAGCTAGTAGTTTTCAAACTCTATTCCTTGATATCCTGTCACATGTAATGGTGGGGAATTGGGAGAGAATAGAGACCTGGGTCTGTAGCCAGAGGAATTCTATTCTTAGTCACATTGTACTGTGGAATTCTAGGTAAAATTTCTTTTGATCCTGGGGTTTTATGTCTGTTTTAAAAAGAAAAAAGAAAAGAAAAGAAAAACTAAATTAAATGGGAAACTCCTGGTCTAGATGGTCCACCAGTAATTCATGGACTGTTCCTCATTAGTAATAAAACGTTGGCACTAGTGACTAATGCCTCCTCACATGTCATCCCCAGCCTCCCATGCCTCACCAGCACTTGTCTTTGTCTCTGGCAGGTTAGGTGGAGCCCCAGGACCTCCCTCTTCTCAAAAGCCTGTGGGCTTCTAGAGTTGGGTGCACAGAAAGAGCAGGACACCTGTGGGATGTTGGGGAGGGATTCCATAGGATGTCAGCCGAGAACCAGCCAGAGGTAGTTGTGTGGAAAACCCCTCCTGGTTGCCCTGAGTGACCCAAGTTATTCCCTTGCTGCAATCGGTAGGCAGCTGGCCCTCAAGGTAAGGGTCACTCCCTGCTCAGTACTGCAGCTAAGCCTGGCTGTTGGGAAGAGAGGGTGAACTTGCAAAGCAGTATTCACTTTAAAGGAGGCATGAACAATTTGTTGCCAAGATATTCCCAGTGATAAAAAATGACATATGAAAGGGAACCAAGGGTACTGAAAAAGAAGAAATCAGGAATCTCTGGTTTAAAAATGTACCCTTTTGGTGATCCAAGCAGTTAGATTTAATCTGTTTACATTGGATAATAATGAAAGGAAATGGGACCAGCTGCAGACCTCCTTACTGTGACAACAGTAACCTTTTATTATTCCATCAAACTCCAGGAGGAAATAGCTTAAACATCTGCAGCTTTTGGACAGAATTCACACACTCAGAAATCTAGCCTGAATGCTACTGCTAAATGACTTAGTGTATTCTTTAAGCCAAGGATCAACCCTTTGGGGAGCTGCATAGTGCAAAGGAAGACACCAGTTTGAGCTGAAATTCCAGCACCTACCATATAAATAGGAGCACATTCATGAAACAGCTATAGGCAGGAGGGGGGGGCAGTAAGAAAAAGAAATTTGAGCAGTTTGTGCCCCCTTTCTTCAGCTCACACTAAAAATGCTGGAAGAGGGCCTCCATGTTGTGGTGACAGGACTGAATGACTTCTCCACACTGCAGATGAGCACTGTTAGTGGGCAGAGGAAGGGCAGAGCAGTCACCTGTAGGTGGGGTTGGGACACCAGCCCTGTCTGGTTTGTGACTTTTGGAGTGTTCTGGGACCTTATCAAGCGTGACCTGTGAAGGCTCATCAAGATGAGTTGGTTGGAATACCAGGAAGTCATTCTATTATATCACTCGGGGTCTATATTTAATACCAAGTGAATCCTTAGACCTATTCAGGCATAATTTTTTCATGTATTGCTTTAATGCATACATTGAAAAAAGAGGAAACTACAAGCAGAATAAATAGATTAAGATATTACTAAAATTTCTTCACATGCAGGGTCCAGCTCTTTGGAACTATTTGTTAAAAAAGCTTTATGTTGCTGGTTATGGTGTTGCACACCTATTTCTAATGGCTCAGGAGGCTAAGGCAGGAGGATCCCTTCAACCCAGGAATTCCAGGCCAGCTTGGGCAACATAGCAAGACTCGCATCTCAAAAAACAAGCAACCAAAACAGCTTTATATTTTCAAATAACTATAGATTCAGAAGTTGCAAACAGTACAGAGCAATGCTGTGTGCTCGTCTCTCAGCCTTCTCCAGTAGTGACAGCAAGCAGAACTAGAGTGATTGTCAGAAGTAGAAAATGGGTCCAAACCTCTTTCTCAGGCCTGGATGCCTGTGTTTTTCCACACACTGTTGTTCTCTGAGCTTTGGAATGTGTTGGCAATTGGGTGTTTCTTAAGAATGCCCCACTACTGCCCCGAACAGTGGTACACACTTGTAATCCCAGAGCTTTGGAAGGCTGAGGCAGGAGGAGCAGAAGTTTAAGGCCAGTCTAGGCAACTGAGGGAAACCCTGTCTCAAAATAAAAAGGGCTGGGAGTATAGCTCAGTGGTAGAGCACTCTTGTGTTTAAGTCACTGTACTGGGGTTGGGGGAAATGTCCTGCTGTTGTATCTGCAGTTTTTTTTGCCAGATCAGTGGCACCCATTCCCCGAAGTTTTTTTGTTGTTATTCCTTACTTTTAAAAAGCAATTTCAAACAGAAAACAGATGAAAGGGGCTGGGGTTGTGGCTCGGTGGTAGAGCGCTCATCTAGCACGTGTGAGGCCCTGGGTTCAATCCTCAACACCATATAAAAAAATAAATAAATAAAATAAAGGTATTGTGTCCAACTACACCTAAATAAATAAATAAATAAGTATTTTTTAAAAAACAGGTGAGAGAATTTTATAAGGAACTCTCAAATATCTTTCATCTAGATTCAGCAATTGTTAATATTTTGCTACATTTACTTTATTTTTTCCTCCCTATTCTTTCTCCTTTCCTCATTATTGCAAAACAATTTGGAAGTGTTACAGACATATGCCCTTTACTCCTAAATATTTCAGCATATATTTCCCAAGAACATTCATTTAAAATACCACACAGAAAATTGAACACCAGTAGTATATTATTCTTTAAAGATTTTATTTAAATTTCATAAGGTAGGCATTTCAGAATGATGCATTAAAACCCTGTCAGCAGTGTTTAATTGGGAAATTGCACATAAATTTGTATGTCAAAAAACCAGATACAATATATACATGTAAAAATGAGAATATTCTTTTTTATGTAAACTCATTTATAATTACCAGAACATATCCTGTAGAAGTGTGAATATTTTCTTCCAAGAAAAGGCAAGAAAATTTAAATCAAAGGAATAATTATACTTATGATGATTATGTTTTATTAGTAAAAATATAACTGGGTATAGTGACCATATTTTTCAAGTCTAAAGTCAAGATGTAGTCATACAAAGTCAGACAAATTAAATCACATTTTAAAATTTATTTAGTGAATTACCTTTTTTAAAAAATATTTTGTTTTCAGTTGCAATTGGACACAATACATTTATTTTTATGTGGTGCTGAGGATTGAACCCAGCGCCTCGCACATGATAGACACGCGCTCTACCGCTGAGCCACAACCCCAGCCCCTAGTGAATTACCTTATCAAAAAGAGAGGAAGAGGGGCTGGGAATGTGGCTCAGTGGTAGAGCTCACGCCTAGCATGTACGAGGCCCTAGGTTCCATCCTCAGAACCATATAATATAAATAAAATAAAGATATTGTGTCCAACTACAACTAAAAAATAAATACTAAAAAAAAAAAAAAAAAACAAAGAAAGGGAGGGAGGGAAGGAGATACTGACTTACAAAAGGTAGAACAGATGGGTGACAGCCTTCCCTCATTACCTGCATTCTTCATTGTGGGTCTTGCATTTTAAACTAATGGAAGCACAAAAAGTTTCCAGGCATCTCTGGGTACAGCAAATTCAAACTGGATAAACTAGTCTTGTACATTCCCTGAGGCCCTCTTGCAATCTCCGCCTAAGGCCTGACTTTGGCAGTGGCTTCCAGATGATGAGAGCAAACAAGCCAGAGTGTAGTCAAGAAGGACCAGAGTTTCTAGAAATCATGCCAAAAAATTAAAGATAGGGAACTCTTGAAAGGTGAAAAAGGAAGAGAGCTGAGCACGAGATTGAATGGGTCTAAAGTTGACATTTAATTTGTGGTAATTATCATCAGTTTTTACAGATGTTTTTAACCATTGCATTGTTTTATAAACAACAACAGGAGAAATGGCCAGAAAAGGTAACTATTATTTCTGTTTGTCTTTGGGGACTTCTAGTGGCTGTTCCAGTACTTATTAAAAGATAGAGACAGTTTAAAAGGGTAGATCTTAAGTATACTTAATAATAGGAGTGGGAAAAAACTTTGGGAGGTAATGGGTATGGCTCTGATGGTGGTGCCAGTTTCATGAGTGTATACTTAACTAATGTTAAGATGTATACATTGGGGCTAGGGTTGTGGCTCAGTGGTAGAGCACTTGCCTAGCACGTGTGAGGCACTGGGTTCAATCCTCAGCACCACATAAAAATAAATGAGTAAAATAAAGGTATTGTGTTCATTTCCAACTAAAAAATATATTTTTAAAAAAAGATATATACATTAAGTATTTTAAGACAAATGTATACATATTCCCAAACTCATGAGGATGTATATATTAAATTTGTACAGCTTTTTATGTTATTCATATCTCACTAAAATGGCTTAACAAAAACAATATGTGTAATTCATTCAACAAATAGGTTATGGCTGCCAACTTATAAACCAAATTTTACTCTAGTATCAACCAAAGTAAGATGTCTTTGGCTCAGAATCCTTTTGTTGGCATTTGACAATGGACAGAATTGACTTTTTTTAGGAATAGAAAGTAATATGTGAGAAGATCCTTACTTTTTTTTTTTTTTTTTTTTTTAGATGTTTGGAAAGGATTTTTTTTTTTTTTTTTTTTTTGGTAGGGGGATGGTGCTAGGGATTGAACTCAGGGACTGGTGCACGTGAGGCAAGCACTCTACCAACTGAGCTACATCCTCAGTCCTGGAAAGGAATTTTATAGCAAATACAGTTTTTACAATGCCAAATGTTTTATTTATCAGTGATTTTCAAGTATTAGTATAGGGACCAGTTACTGGTCTATTTTTCAGTGCTCTATGATAAAAAATATAGACAAGATAGTCTGCCTCCCACCCCCACCCCCACCCCCACCCCCTATCCCTACCCCCCAAGCCAAGTTACCAACCATCCTTTCTTGGAAAGAACTGCCTTATTTTTTATTTTTAAATATCTTTTATTTACTTATTTTTATGTGGTGCTGAGGATCGAACCTAGGGCCTCGCCTATGCTAGGCAAGCGCTCTACCACTGAGCCACAACCCCAGCCCAGAAAGGACTGCCTTTATGCTGCTATTTTAGTCTTATAAAATTTGGGCGCCCCACTTCTTGATCTATACCCAGAGGTCTTAAAATCAGCATACTATAGTAACACAGCCACATCAATGTTTATAGCAGCTCAGTTCACCATAGTAAACTGTGTATTGACTTAGATGCCTTTCAATAGATGAATGGATAAAGAAACTGTGGTATATGTACATAATGGAACATTATTAAGCATTAAAAGAGAATTTGCAGGTAAATGGATGGAATTGGAGAATATCATGCTAAGCTAAGTAAGCCAATCCCCAAAAACCAAAGGCCGAATATTCTCTCTGATAAGTGGATGCTGATCCATAATGGGGATGGGGGAGGCATGGGAAAAATGGAGGAACATTGATTGATCAGAGGGGAGGGAAGGTGCAGGGGGGCAGGAAAGATGGTGGAATGAGATGGACATCATTACTCTAGGTACATGTATGACTGCACATATGATGTGACACTACATCATGTACAACCAGAGAAATGTAAAGTTGTGCTGCAATTGTGTACAATGAATGAAAATGCATTTTGCTGTTATATACCTAATTAGAATAAAAAAATTAATTAATTTTTAAAAATTTGGGCATATAAAATATTTTCTTTTATGAATTTGTGATAAGGATAGAAAGTAGCAAAACAAAAAGTTAGCAACCCTCTGTACTAACCCTCTCTACCCTTCTATTTCTTATGTTTATTTGTCACTAAAACCCCCAAGTTTAAGAGCTATTGTAGGAAAACATTTATGTGAGAGATAAGAGTCCTAGTTTAGGATATAAAAAGCTTTGTTATATGTTTTTGGGTAGACTATCAGGACCTCAGAGCCCCCATTTCTTGAGGTGTAGAAGAGTAGTAATGAGACCTACTTGATGGATTATTGTGAGGAATAGAGGAGACATTATTTATTATTGAAGTACTTGGCCCATAACAATCAGTAAATGGAGGCTCTTAGAATTAGATCATGTGAAAGCACTTCAACACCTTACAAATACAAGGTGGTGCTATGATTAGCCAGGATTTAAAATTTTAAATATCAATCAGATGATGAATAACTGCCAAAATGAAAATGCATGTGTTATCTAAGTAGCAGTAAATCTTTCATCATACACAGCAAGTAAATAATGCTAACAAAGCTGGTGTCTCATTCACAGACTGGAATGAGTCATAATGTAAGACATATTCCTACTTCATTACATTGAGTATTTGTTTACCTATAATCTAAAAGTACACTTTGAAGTGATGTTTTCTTTGAAATTGCTTGAAAATTTGCAAAGATTACTCAAATTTTGGATTTCTCTTTACTTTTTCTCTCTTTTTTCTTCCAGCCAAAGAAGCCTAAAGTCCCAGACAACCCATTTCATGGCATTGTTTCCAAGTGTTTTGAGCCTCATCTGTATGTGTATATTGAGTCCCAGGATAAGTAAGTGACAGGCACTTTGCTGATTTCAATCAGCATTTGTACACCTTCTGGTCATGTTGAGTCTTACAAGGGCACAACTCCTTTCAGAAGCAAAAGGAGAGACTTGATATACCTGTGACCCTCCCTGGAGCTCATTAAGGACCTTAGCATGAAAGAGGCCCTGGATTCTATCTCCAATATCACAAAAAAAGAAAAAAAGATATTTTTATATCTTTTGAATATTATCAGTTATTTTGTCTATAATGTCAGAAGTCTGAGGGTTTTTTTTAATTAAAACCCACTTATTTATTTATTTATTTGAATTTTTTTTTTTTTTTTTTTTTTTTTAGTTGTAGATGGACACAATACCTTCATTTAGTATTTTTTAAATATGCCTCATCTGTGCTAGGCAAGTGCTCTACCACTGATCCACAACCCAACCCCTATTTTTATTTTAAGATAGGATCTCACTAAGTTGTTGAGGGCCTTGCTGAGTTGCTGAGGCTAGACTTGAACTTGTGATCCTCATGTCCTAGCCTCCTGAGTCACTGTAGTCACTGGGATTATAGGTATGTGTCATTACACCTGGCCAAAAGTCTGAGTTTTGCTACAATACAGCCCCGTATAAATCTCAGAAGCCCCTTGTGGGTACTGAGCTCTCATTGAGTTCTGACATTTGTCAGCTCACAAAGCTTTACAATGTCAGGCTTTGGACATTGTAAAAAAGCTTTATCTCTAAAGTATATGTTTTCAAGTAGTAATTTTGACTATCAAAAAAATTACAAAAATAGAACAAAAAATTCTCATATACCCTTCCCCAGATAATATTAATATTGTATATAATCACAGTTATCAAAATCAGAAAAGTAATATTGTCTTGCAAATGTTCTTCTTCTGGTCCAGGACCTCTAATAATTTTGTGTTTAGCCACCAGGTCTCCTCAGTCTCCCTTAATCTTGAATAGTTTTTTGTTTTTTCTTTATCTTTCATGGCCTAGACTCTTTTAAAGGGTATTGACCAGTTTTTGCTTGATGTTTCTTCATATATATATATATACATATATATATATATATATATATATATATATTTTTTTTTTTTTTTTTTTTTTTTTTTTTTTGAGTCAGGTGTCTCCTTATGTTGCTCAGGCTGGTCCTGAACTCCTGGGCTCAAGCAGTATTCCTGCCTCAGCCTCCCAAATAGCTGGGACTATAGGCCAGTAGCAGCACTATGTCCATTAGAGGTTTCTTCTTCAACCCTTGCCTATTTGGCAAGATGACTTTAAAAGTGAAATTGTATTCTTTACAGTGCATTGTGTCAGGAGGCACACCATGTAGATTTATCCCAATACTACTGATGTTAACTTTGATCACTTTTGTAAAGTGGAGCCTGCAAGCTTTCTCCACTGTGAAGGTACTATTTTTTACTTGTAACTATTAAGTTTCTTTCAGAGAATACTTTGAAACTATGTAAATATCCTGCTTCTCATCAAGCGCTAGTTCACTCATTTCAGAATCCCTCTGTTATTTTTGCCTGAAGCAATTATTATCGTCAGGTTTGCTTCATATCGATTGTTTCCATCATTTCTTCTAGACTTACCAGTTGGAGTTCTGTTGTAAGGAACTTTCCTCCCCATTTGTTTATTTATGTTAATATGGACTCATGGATTCTTATTGTAGTTTATGGATTATCCATTTATTATATGTGCTTTTCACAAACTCCTGGGCTCCAAAATTTTTTACATATTAGCCCACCATGATCCAGTTTCTTCACAGCCGGAAGGTGATCATGTTCCAGTGTCTTGTTGTTCATGTTGGGGATATTAGGAAAGGAGGAAGACCTCTTCCTCATATTTTGGAAAAGTAGGGTTTCTGAAAGAGGGCAGGTCACCCAAAGACAAGCTGGCCTGGACTCTGAGGTCTCGAATGAGTACAGAGAGGAGTACAGAGAGGTCCCATGGAGGAGAACAGCAGTGCTTGTGAGAAAGCTCTTGATGGCAGTTCTATATGAAAACTTTGCCCAATATCCCCTCACTTTTTTTTAATGTTTCTCTCATAAGTTAATAAGTACTTGTTTCTAAATGTTTCAGGTATAAACTATAAGATTTAAGAGAATGTTTGAAGTGGGGACAATATTATTTTTCACTTATTTGATTTTATAGATTAATAAAGTACTTCATATTAAAATGCCAGAAAATAAACTTTATATAAGGGCTTCTATATTAATAAAAACAAGCTCCCATCCCAAGGGGAAAAAAAACTTGCCTTGCCATTGATTGCCTCGTGAAGGCTCTCTTTCCTCTTCTGTGTGTACTGGGAGTATCTCCAGCAGGCACAGAGAGGGGCAGTGGTTGCTATGGATGTTTTTGTTCTTTGAGAGTACCTTGTCTTCTGTCTTCAGAAAGATTCCTCCCAGGATTGGGAAACTCAGTGGTCATGCACTTGCCTAGCATACACAAGGCCCTAAGTTTGATCTCTAGCACTGAAAAAAAAAAAAAAGTTTTCTCCCAGGTCAGGCTTGATGGTGGGTGCCTGAGATCTCTTTTACTAGAAGCTGGTGCAGGAGGATCATTTGAGCCCAGGAGTTTGAGGTCAGCCTGGGCAACATAGCAAGACCCTGTCTCAAAAAAAAAAAAAAAAAAAAAAAGGAAAGAAAGAAAATAAGTAAGATACCACTTAGGAACAGAAAAAAGATTAATTATTTATTTTCCTGTTAAGGTACTAGGGATTCAAGCAACCCACTTTGATGACCATTTTCAATTAGAGCACCATCTTGTCTTATCAACCCAAATTCTTATAAATCTTATTTCAAGAAGGTTGTAGCATGTCTGAGATATCCACATCCTTTCCAAAAGACCTACCTCATTTGAAGAGTCACTTTTCTGAATCATAATTCTGGTATCCATTCTCACATGACCTTGATTCATACAAAATGTACTCATAATTCATGATACTTTGGGCAAAGACCAGGCCTGCCTTCCTCCAGGCCTCTCCATTTCTCCATGAAAGATGCAGTGCTTGGCCTGCGTTCAGCCTCACTAGGATGTTTTTAGGCCCTAGGGAAGCAGTAGCATCCCCTCAGAAAGGAGGACTGAGTAGGTTATGTTATGGTAACTCCAGATTAAACGGCAGAAGTTTAAGTAGAAGATAGAGTTTAAGAACTCCATTTCCTCTTCTGTCAGAGGAGTCAGATAAATTGATGCCAAAAACAGTAGTTATTAACCTTTTGTGAATTATAGATCCTTTTGAGAATCCATTGAAAATTATAGATTTTGTTGTTTAAGAAAAAAAAGAGTCCAATTATACCCACACACTAGTTTTGAGTATAATTTCATGAGGTTTTTAGGAAGCCCTTCTGCCACCTCAGTCAAAGAATCCTGAGGCTAGGAAAGGAACTTAGGTGGGACTAATTTCGTGCAGTTACTACTCTACTATAAAAATCAAAGGAGAAAAGTCTTAGATTGTTCACCAGCTCCCAGAGGACACAAAGCACAGTATGGTGGAAGAGTGAGGACCTGAGTGCCAGATAGACCTGGATTTGAATTGGAGCTCTGAACTTACTAGTCTGGGACTTGAGCATGCTACTTAGCCTTTCCAATATTTTGTTCTCTATACAGTGAAGTTCATAATGCTTATGTCATTGTTTTGTGGTGAGAGTGAAATAAGATGACAGTAGTGGTCCTTGCACACAGTAAATGGTGCTTAGGAACTATTCCTGCCTTGCCTCCCCTGATCCCTGATTGGTTTCTTTCTCTCTCTCTGGTTTTTTTTTTTTTTTTTTTTTTGGTGATGCTGGGGATCTAACCCAAGGCCTTGCTCATTGCTGGGGAAGTGCTCTACCACTGAGCCACACCCCCAAACCCTTCCCCATGATCTGGTTTAGGACTCCTGTGTAGGTAGGCAACATTATCAATGTTGCCAGTCTCCTTCTGGGCCTGGCATGGAGTTCATCTTCTCACCTCCCCAGCCTCCCACCTGCCTAAGCAATATTCTGGCAGCACCTGCCCCAACCAAAAGCCAAGCAATAGTAGGAGATCTGAGGAACCAGTTCTCAGGGAGGAAGCAAGAAGTAGAGTCCCAGTGGCCACCTCTTACGCAGATTAGGCTAAGCTGTCTTTATATGCTTGAAGTGGTTTTCTCAATTTTTATTTTTGTTCAAGGAAGAAGTTAGTATCTTTACTCAGGAATATATAGTGATTTCCCTTGACTGATTCTGCAGAAGAGAGTTCTACCTAGTCACTGTCTTCACTCCATTCTGTGTTATTTATTAGTCAGAGAAGTTATTGATGATGCCATTTTTGCCCATTTTCCTGAGTTCCTGTAACAGCTTGTTAAAATAGAGCTTCCCGTTCCCCTTTCTGACTTTGTCAAGCCTAGAGTCTCTCTGTAACTAATTGTTTGTTGTTTATTTTTAATTAATTCCAACTGACCAAAGAGTTACAAAAATTGTACATAGGGCTCTTTTATGTTCTTCGTGCAGACCCCATAGTTATCAGTTACCCATCCCAGCTTTCTCTCATATACACGTGTGTATATATACACATACATTTTTTTGAACCATTTGAATTCTTTAGTTGCAGTCAGTGTGTCCCATTACTCTTCATGTTTTATTTTAATATATTTTTTAGTTGTAGATGGACACAAATATCTTTATTTTTTTGTGGTGCTGAGGATCAAACCCAGTGCCTCACACCTGTGAGACAAGCGCTCTACCACTGAGCTACAGCCCCAGCCCCTCCTTCATGTTTCAATGTATGTTTTCTAAACATAAGGATACAATCTGTATAACTACAGCATAAACATCAAAATCAGGAAATTAACTTGGATACAGCATTATCATGTAATCCATAGACTCCATTCCACTTTACCAGTTGTCCCAATCATGTTTATTTTTAATCCACTCAGGATCCATTCCAGGATCACAGGTTGCATTTATTTGTTCCTTCTTTTTCCTTCAGTCCAGAAGCGTAAGTCAGTCCTTTACCTTCCATGACCTTGAAATTTTTGAAGTGTATAGGCCAGTAA